TAGACATCTTCTTTTTTTATCCCAACCCGTGTCAAAATTCAAACTGTGTGTGAAATGTTGAACAAATGCAATCATCAGTAGAAAGACATCAGTGTCTGGGGACCGAATAATGATGTCTGTGTTTGGAGTAGCAATGTTCTGATCAGAGAAGATGGCATACACGATCAGCAGTGTGTCTGCTTCCTCGTGGCTGGAGAATAACTCTGGAACAGGTATTGAGTCTGTAGTCTTTCCATCACTGCTACTGAGGACAAAGCACTGTTGGTCACTTACAAAGTATATTTCTCTGTTCAGCAACATCATTGCATAACAATCTTGTTGCTATACATAAAGTAAGAACTGTGTCAGTTGCCTTTTGTTTTCATTATTCATATGGAGCACTTTGAAATCTTTGATACTCTGTTTGTTATCAAGATGGGTTCCACCTTAGAATTGATAAAACACGGGTCAAGCTGTTTTTTGGAATATGGATTGATCTTTTCTTTGTTCTGTCAACCTCTGATGTCGGCTGGGGAATGTATGGCTGCTCTTTGATTTCTCGTATGACTAGTCCATGAGTTGAATGTGTGGATCCAGTTCCTGATAAAGTTTCCTCATTCAAGTCAAAATTGTCCCAACAGAAGTGAGTGATGAGGTTGTTGTCAGGCATGATGGATGGGGGCAAACTACATGAAGAAACCTGTATACTGTCACACATGGCAGTTTCCACTTTTAAGAGAAATGAGTGGGATACAGAATGTCCATGCCGGTTTAAGATATTTATCAGCTGAGTGTTTCCTATTGGTTGACGGACACATATACCAATCATAATATGTTAAGGCTTTTTCCATTCCCTTTCGTCTCATTGTAGCATATGTCCTGACCTGTATAAACAACTCTCCTGTGGCATCTTGTTGACTGTGGTTTTCCATTCTTAGAGTAAAGAAAAGAAAGAAATATTGTACATACTTGTGGAATCTGCAAAGTTTCTGTGCGCAGATCTGTGTCTGCTGAAAGCCAAGGTAACTTTTCACTTTCATTGCATCCATCAAGAACAGGTCGTCGTATCACCTTTGCCCCTTCTATTACAAGTCTCTCTTCAGAGATTACATTTTCAAAGGCAACTCCGACAGCCTGCCCAGTTGAAATTTCATCAGAGTACATGAGATCACTTGTCCCAGAATATATCTGCCAGAAGTTGATCCTGGACTTGAAGTGCTTCACAAGTTTCTCCTTAACTTATATGTCTTGTAGTACGTCTAAAACTCTGGACAATTTGTGTGCATGAAAGTGCAATACATCTCTTTCAAAAGACTAATCCTAACAACAAGGGCCAGCGCAGTGACATGTTCTTCCACAAACTGACGGACGTGCTGAAAAGCCTTGGAGTGGGCTTCTTCCTCTGCAGCTGGAGCTTTCTTTCTTTCTTCAGCTTCTGC